ATTTTAACAAACCTGTATTCTCTTGAATTTTTAAAAAATATATGAGTTTTTGGGGTGTCAAATCATGAACTCAAGTTAAAGGTTGGAATACTCATCATGTTGTTGAGAATTTGTGCAATGAAACAAGGTTGATAGTAACTCGATTGGACAATTAGTAACTCGATTGGACAATTATCTTATTTAATATGTAGTGATGAAATCGAAAAATGTTGGTAAAGAAGTTATTATTCCAAGGTTGTCACATACACCGTCAAATACAAAAATTCCTTTTAAGTTTCAAAGAAAACAATTTTCAATTATGACTTCCCATGCAATGACAATTAACAAGAATCAAGGAGAATCTTTATCACATGTTGGATTGTACTCAAGAAACCTGTATTCAATCATGGACAACTTTATATGGCAATTTTACGTCTTACGAATCGCAAAGACTTAAATATCTTGATTTGTAATGAAGAACTTTTACTCTTTAATCAAACTACAAATGTAGTTTATAAAGAAGTTTTTCAAAACTTATAACGCTTCCCATTGACATTGAGTATTCATGTAAACTTCGTATTTTCCTTTGTTTACAATTTTATAAGTTCTATAAACATTTGGGTTTTGTAACTTTTTTCTTCTTCTAAATATATCCTCATTTTATAGTAAATAATTAGCATGTGTAACGCACGGGTACGAGTCTAGTAAATAGTAAGAGTTAGAGTGTTACGGAGTATATTGCAAATTATTTTAAAAGTCAAGTTGTTTGAGAATACTAGTACTTTTACCCATGCCACGCACGGGGTCAAGCAAAATATAATATCGAACTTTAGAATTTTAATGAATGATATATCATAAACATTTGCTGACCGAAATTCATCTATATATACATAAAAAAGAACTTGTAAATATATATTTTAAATCTAAATCTATTGGAAAACTTCGGGGTAACCCATATTTTTGATAAAGTTGCAAGGGTTATCGTTGTCATCTAAAACTAACATTTGCAATTTTGTCTTGGCTTTCACTTGTGAAACTACAATATAGAGTTGGTCGTGAGTAATATTGATTTGGACAACAATAATCCAACAAATGATAGTGTTTGGCCTTGACTCTTATTGATAGTCCTGGCAAAACATAAAAATATTGGAAATTATCTTCTTTGAAGCTTAAATGGTAATCCAAGATGAGACAGTACCAAAATTCATTCTTGGTATGTAAACTTTCTCCACGGTATTGTTTCTTGATACAACAATTGCACCGATAACATTTTTTTGCAACTCTTCAACGATTAACATTGTACCATTACACAACCCGGATGTTTGATCAATGTTTTTCAATAATATGATCGCTACTCCTTTCTTCAAAACAATTTTTTTGTTCGAAATTTTAGAATATTTGATATTGATCAAAAACTCAATCATTATCCAATCACCATCTATGCCTACATGTGAATCTACTGGACATGAAGAATCAAAACTCAAATATTCCTTTTCATCACCTAGAATAAGAGACAAAAGAAATTCATTGATCATTTCAACAACTTCAAGCGTGGGTGCTAATAACACTTTATCCATAAAGAAAGTTTAATCTTTCATATTTTTCAATATGTATAGACATGTGAATTCCACTATACTCTTAGTAAGAACTCCCTAGATAAAAGTAAAAATCTATTAAAATACCAAAATAAGAGTCATATGTCTTTTAAGACCAAAATAGGAGTTCACACTATCATTGTTACACTATAGCACTCACCACATTGTCACATTGTAGCTATCACACTTTCACCGTTACACTGCTATCTGTCACTTTTAGCCATATATTACATTATCATCACATTTCCAATGCACTGCCAACATGTACTCTTACGATACACTATCATTATACTCCTATTTTGGTCTTAAAAGACTTACAACTCATGTTTTAGTATTTTCATAATTTTTTACTCATATCTAGGGAGATTTTTTATACTCTTAAGCAGAGAACTCGAGTAGAGAATCAAGGATTCTAGTGGAATTTCACTTTAGTCTTATACAAAAGTATAAATTGAACAATTGTTATGATTTTAGTATTTGTTTTTGTTATATCAAAAATATAATATTTGTTCCAACATTTTTTATTTTTTTCCCCCAAAAATTTTCAACTCTTTTAAAAAAATTTCAACTCTTTCTAGTTTTTTAGTTTCTTCCTCTTTCTTTCATTTTTCGAGTCCCTTCCGGTTTTTTAGTCTCTTTCACTTTCTTCCATTTTTTCCCACTTCCTTCTAATTACTTCCATTTTATTTTGAGTTTCTTTTAACATCTAACTCTTTATTTTCAAAGTATAAAGTACATGTTGTTAGTTTCTTCATTTTTTATTTTTTCTAACGCCTTTCAGTTTTTCGAATTCATTCAAAATGTGCATATAAAATATCGTAAGTTTCAAAATATGGCAATATGTCCTCTCTGCGCGTCAAATTCCAACGTTTGTATTTCACGCTCCCAAAGTATGTTGAAGTTTGACAACGAGGGGAATGAATGCTTATTTTCTATACTACCGGACATTAGAACCTATTTTTGTTCATTTTTTGTTTTTTGTTTTTTTTCTTCCCTTTGTTTTCTTTTAAAAAAGCTTTTTAAATTATTTTTTTAAATATTCTTCAAAAATTCATAAATGTTTATGTTTTAAATAAAAAGTAAATGAAAAAATATTATGTACTCCATCAATCTCAAATTACACAGTTCATTTTTTTCTAAAATAAAAATATCTTACTGTGACATTCAAGAAAATGAGGGGTAGAAAAATGAAATACTAAAAAGAATAGCAAAAGGAAATGAAAAAAGTAAAAAGAAACAGAAACTACTCGAATAGAAAAGAGAAAGCGTATCTATGAATTGATGAGGTGAACATTTTATTATTATATCAATATAAACCTTATTATACTCCACAATTGAATTTTTAGAAAATATTAGTGTAGAAATGCTAGGGGACTTTATCATATTTATTGTTTACTACGGTAAATTTTTTCTATAACATAAATTTATTCCCTTTTCTATTAATAAATTTATTACGCACAATACCATATTTATCTTTCGCTAATTTTGATTTATAACATTACTAATTTTTTAGAGTGTTATTCTTTTTCTAAGATAATTTGAGTTTCTCTTAATTGTAGGACGACAAATTCTGCCACGTATGCTTTATTTATAAGTTGGACCATGCTACACTTACACCAACAAATATACCTCATTTGTACACCACAGGTTTGCAGAAACATTTCGATGGTTTACACCGACACAAGTGTTGGTGCATTAATAAAAATTCACACGGACACAAATGTTGGTGCGTTTAACAAAAATTAGTTTTACACCAACACAAAATGTTGGTGCAAAACTGCGGGGTACAAATTGGGGTACAAATCTTGGGGTACACATAGCATAATCCTTATAAGTTTTACTATCTTTCGTTGTGTTCGGGAAGTCACTGCCCGTGTGTTTATCATAGATCTTTTAGCTTTTTAATGAAAGTTCTTTTTTACCTTAAAAACTAATTTTACTACATTAATAAAAAATATAATCACTCATAAGTTCTTTTTCCTTTACCTAAAAGTTCTTCCATCTTATATCGGTTTGGGAGGTCACTCTTGTGTTCATTATGGATCTTTTAGCTCATTAATGAAACTTTTTTCTTTTAAAATATTAATTTTACTTCATTAATAAAAAAAGATATTTACTCATAACTTGTCATCAAGTAAAAAAATTCTTTACTTGTTCTAAAATATTTAGTCTAAATTTTTTCAAGACAGTTCTAAATATATTTCGTCCACATAATTAAAAATATTTCCAAACACAAATTTACTATTATTAAAATTTTACATTTTTGATCTACGATTGGGTCACGTTTGTACTACCTAGATATTATAAATTCATTAATTCTATATTTGATACTTATTCATTCTTTTTGAAATCTTATGTACGGAGTAAAAAATTACCTTAATATGTAAATTACGTTAATTTTCTACTTTTTGCATTTTATAAATAAATATAAAATCCTCATACACTTGCTTAAGGGTATTTTTAATTTAATTTATAGGTGGTGAACATTGGATAAATGAAAAAACTTTCAATCGAATAAAAAGAAAATCTCATGAGAAAAAATAGTGGTTATTGTAATCAGCGCTCATTTTTAGTTATACGGAGTGTAAATGAAAAAAACAAATACCATTCGTAGTATATTAAATATTTAATCATACTTTATATTTTTCAGAGTAAATGTTGAATGTTTATTCGAGTATATTAAATATTTAGTTAACGTGTAATTGATTACTTTAATAAAATTCTTTTAAAAAAATTGTTTAATTTTACTGATGAGTGCTTCTATGATGCATCTTGAGTGCATATCATTTTTGTGATATATAGGTCCACGGTAGACCTTAAATCTACTATAGGAATTTGCCTTTTAGATTACTTTACCTAAAAACATGAAAACTTGTCAAAAAATAATGACATATATCACCACATGTCATTTTTTAAAAGAGTCACATGTCAAATGCTTAGATTTGGAAGTCTTAAATTTATATATAAAGGATAGGAAACAAATCAATTTCATTTTTTTAACTTTACAAACAAAACTCTTCACAAATATACCTAATTCGGGTATATATACCACGTTATTGGTACTAGGTCTAGACTCTTTTCCTACAACCTCACTCGTTGTGGCATACTTACCTTTTAGAACGCGTTATCCCTTCCACTTCTTTAGAATCCTTTCTATACTTGACAGAGACAGTCTTCAAAGTTTTTTCCTTGTGTTTGACAGAGGTAAAGTGGACAAAGTGAAGTTTTAAGTCTCGTCATTCCTGTAAAATATACTCGGGAGCGTTTAGCTAAGTAGTGCCAAGGGTCGAAAGACTACGTCAGGTGGTGCTGAAGGATATACTAAGTTTGGTTTGGTTTGTTTAAATAATGATGCGCTCAAAGAAAACCAATGGGCAAGTTGAAACTAAACGTGTAAAAACACGGGCACCTGCAGGCTGCAGATGACTTTAAGGTAAAACTTCATTTTTACAAACCATCCATAACTTTGGTCTGGTCACTACATATCTTAAGGGTTAATAAACCTTCTTGCTCTGATGAATCAACACCTACACAGGTGTATGTATTTACCCTTTATAATATATGTGTTCAGATAATCTACTTACTATCATAATGTACCTTGTTTTTTTCTTTATCTTCTTTTTCCCTACTTTTTTGAACTTTACAGAGCAGCTTCCGTCATTCTTTTTGATATAGAAGTATAGCCTGAGTGAGTTCCCTATCACCCTCGTCTCGAATTGCTTGGCCGTTCATCTGTAGCTTCAACAAAGATCAAGGATATATGTTTAACGCAAATCCAGTGAGCTTGCAAGTGCTGCTTTTATTCTAAAACGGATGGATAGAGTACACGCAAATAAACAAATATATAAAAGCATTTTATAGCATCCATTTCCAACTGAGCTAAGCGAGTCATTTCGGAAATATTTTAGCTTCGAGTAAATAATGGGCTAAATCAAAATGGCACATCATATTTTCATTGATCCATTCTACGAAATTTTGGGAAGTAAATGTAGCAATGCATCTAGTGGTCCAATGGAAACATACTTTGTGCACATCTTGAGGACTAAGGCCGCTGTTAGCAGTTTGTCAACTCTTTAGGTAATTGTTCTGAAAAGCTCGAAAAACAGATGCTCCAAAAAGCTTAAAAACATGTTTTTGGAAAGAAAAAATCTCTCGCAAAAAAACTTTTTACTGAACACATCTAATAGCAATTTGACCAAAGTGAAACCACCCTTCTAGCTCAAAAGAGTATTTTCACAAATTGATCCCCAAAGTGCTCCTTGCCATAAAAAAACCTAAAAGGGTAAGTTGAAAGCGACAACAACAAACCAGTATAATCCCAACACTGTTAGCCCCTTGGTGCATTGTGTTACAAACGGATTAGTGAACGTTATAGAAAAACATGTGTGTCCTTCCCAGCTCGTGGATGGAAAGACGGTATAGTGCACTCCGTGACTAGCTTCTCATAATTAGCGTTTTGACTACAACCACTGATGATTTTATTAATGAATATAAAACCTCTATCTATATTACTCCTAAGAGTCTTTGTTAGCAAATTAATGGAGTTCCAATCTAATGCGGATAAAAAATATTCCTATTAATATTATTAACTAAAATAAAGTCCAAGTACTAATAGGAAATTATTTATATCAATATCACTAATAGTCTAGTACAAGAAAGGACTAAATTCTAATAATAATAGAAAACTAGTTCTTCTATTACTAAATAATACGTAGTAATAGTAATAATATTTGTATCGTTACACCCCTTCTGGACATCAAGCTTGAAGAGAGATACGTTGCACCAGCACTTTTCATAATCAAACAAATCAGTTGAAAACCCTCAATTAACTGAGCACACCATTTGAAAGCACCAACCGTTGGTAGTACTCCAAGAAATCTGACACTCTTAGCGGATAGCCCGATGGATGAATTTCCCATAGTGAGATGTGGCTTGCTAGTTATCAAACATACGATTACTACACCCTCATTCGGCAACTTGACATGTGTATAATTTGTTAGATTTAATCGGGTTTGTTCACATATAACCGAATGGGTAATGGGTTAATGTTCGAGTCGGTTAGTATGAAGTTGGTTAGTGTGTCTTTCATATATAAATAATTTAAAAAAACAGTTGGGCAGTTTCTAAAAACAGTTATGGATAGTTTCCAATGTTAATAGGTGTGTTAGTTTGTAATAGTAGTGTTGGTTAGTAAAAGTCGTGTTGGTTTGTTCTCTATTTATATTTAGCGAACACAAAGAATCCAGTACAAGTTCACAACAATAAAATATTCTAGTTTGCTTTGATCTGGTCCTGTGTAACAATTGGTATCGGAGCGAAGATCCAATAAGGACCCAACGATCAAAGGGAGCGGTCTGTCTTGTGATGGAGTTGTACGATCGGGAGCAGAAGGGCTGTCAGATCATAATACAAAGTGTTAGAGACTTCCTCGACAACAAATCAAGAATCTTCGACAAGATTCTTCCTCGCCTAGGACAAAAATAGCAGGTGGCTAGTTTTTTCCTTTGGCAAAAGGGTTCCAACCAAATAGCGCGGGAAAAACGAATCATCGTAGTAGCTTTCGTTTAGTGGCTTGGAAGACGGAAAAGCAGGGGCTTGTTTTCTAGTCGATGGTCGATTGCAGGTGGCTTATGACCTGGGAAGGAATCGAAGTTAAGAATTTTGTGAAAATTGTCGAAGGAATAAAAGTCGTGCAATGGGAGAAAACCAAAAATAGACAGATTGTGACTACAAGGGAGAACGGTTAAAAGTTTGTCAACCTTAACCCGAGGAAGGCGATATGCAAATCAAACATCGTAAACCGAACTGGGGAGAAAGTTTTAGGATGAAGGGAGTATTCACTAAAAGTGATGGAAAAGAGAAGGTTAAGGAAAGGAGCACAATGGGAGCTCAAACCGAGAAGACTTTGGACGTGGCCGAGGTAAAGGTCGGGAGTCCAGGAAAAGTAAGGATGGTGTGTTTCAGCGAGATAAGAGTCACATCAGGTGTTTCAAGTTCAATGAGCTTGGGCATTTTGTGATCGAATGTCCAAAATGGGATCAAAAGGACGACACTTCAAATTTGATTCAAAATGATGATGAACCAGCGTTGCAGAGAAGATTGGTGTGAACAAACAACGATTAGAGCGTGATTGTTAGATTTAATCAGGTTTGTTCACATATAACCAAATGGGTAATGGGTTAATGTTCGAGTCGGTTAGTATGGAGTTGGTTAGTGTGTCTTTCATATTTAATTAATTTATAAAAAACAATTGGGTAGTTTCTAAAAGCAGTTATGGATAGTTTCTAATGTTAATAGGTGTGTTAGTTTGTAACCGTTGTGTTTTTTAGTAAAAGTCGTGTTGGTCTGTTATCTATTTATATTTAGAGAACACAAAGACTCCAGTACAAGTACACAACAATAAAATATTCTATTTTGTCCTGTGTAACAGAATTAACCTTGAGTTCTTGGATGACCGTAGGATTTAGTGGTTTAGTTGCAACTTGGGTAATAGCTTCTCGATGTGCATGTGATGACATGATGACAACAATAGAGTAGGCGGAGATTGGTGGTGGAGGCAACTCAGTTGAGGCACACACAGATCTGACAATAGAGTTGTCAATTCTACATTCGACAACAGATCTACTCACCTTGAAAACACTTTATTCAAGGGTGGAGATGGCAATTGCGGATGAGGTAGGTTGTAATTGATATTCATGTTGCAACATCTTTCATGAATATTCTCTCCATAAAATTCCACTTTGGCAACTATTGCAACATCAACAACTATAACAACGACCCTGTTGAAACATTTTTGTGTTATTTCAAGTGTTTTATATTATTTCTTAAAGTCTTACTTATATTACTCCCTCCGTCCCACTTGAATCTTTACGTACACTATTCACAGGATCAAACTTCATACACTTTGTTTCCTTATTTTTATTACTCCTTTGATAAAATAAAATATTCATGTCACATCTAGTTTTGTAGATCTTTTGATGTAGTTTTTAAATATATAATTTTTATTTTTAAATTTTACATCTATAATTAAATAAATTGAATTGAAAATAAAGTTGGTCAAGCATCGTAACACGAACCAGAAAGATTCAAATGCGACGGAGAGAGTATTGCGGGATAACCAAAAAGACTTTGTGGCTTACGTCTTATATACTAAGAAAAAAACATCTCAAAACCTGCCCTACACCATTTTGAACATTGTGAATGTACCACTTCTATTTATACTTTTGAGCCTTGGTGAGCAAGTTAATAGAGCTCTAATCTAATACACAGTACAATATTGTTATTAAGAATATGAACTATAATAGAGTCCTAATACTAATAGGAAACTGTTACTATTAATACTATATTACCACTAAATAAAAGGATTAATTAGTAGTAGTAGTAGTAATAATAATAATAATAATAGGAAGCTAATTCTTATATTACTACACAATAATAATAACAACAACAATAATAGTACTAATATTAATAATCCTATCACATCTTTGCACTTACTAGCCAAAACTTCATAGAAAATACGAAGCAAGTGAAGTGTAATGCGTCATTTTGATTTAGTTCATTATTTGGGTGAAGCTAAAACATTGTCAATAATGACTCCTCCTTTAGCTCCATTAGTAATGGATGGAAAGATGGTAGATTGCATGCACATACCAATATTAAAAGTGGGTTTGATGCCTTCATTAGAGGTATGCAGATATGATGCAAAATATGAAGACATACAGCAAGTTGACTGATTGGCAGGCCGTTGGATTCACTTTTAATTATTTAAAACGAGTATATACATTATATATAGACGCTTTTGAAATGGTGGAAAATTGGAAAGTCGGCAATGGATAAGCTTAGGTTTAGGGAAGCATAAGTTGGTAGACATAAGATATACACAATTATTTTAGCACTCTTAACTCACTCTATAACAACTGTTCATTTAAAAAAAAAAATCTCTATATCTTCTTATACCTACCAATTTATGCTTCTCAAGATATACACAATTAAAAAACTTCAAATAGAGTAATAATCAATACCTTGTTCATCATCCTCTCCATTTTGACTTGTAAAGAATGGAGTTAGGTAGTTCCTATCTAATGCTGAAAATGATGATGCGCTGCAGTGATGATGGAAAAGCATGCATTAAACCAACATATTACACTCGTTACAGTTCATCTCCCCACCCCAACCCGTACCACACAAGAATAGCAGAAATTTTAAATTCCATATCCAAATATTTAGCTACCTCTTTTGAAAGTCTTTTAGCTTCTTGAACCTGCTTCCGGATGATGATTCCTCATCATAAGAAGTTACTGTGTAGCCATTACTTCCCTCTAATCTCTAAACCGAGAAAAAGAACAATTAAAATAAATAAAAATCTAACTGTTATTAGTTTTATTGTAAAAACATACTACTAGGAAAATAGACAAGCTGACATTCCTTGGAAGATGGAAAACAACTCCGATTTGACAATAGAGGAAAAGTGAGTTTGTTGCTTCACAAAGTTTACAATACAGGAAAGATTTCAAAAATATAGAGTTCCAATAAAATCAGAGAAAAGACACAAATACATATATTGACAAACAACAACCTAGATGGATCCCACGAGAGTATGGTCTGGGGAGGGTTTGTGTATGCAGACCTTGCCTCTACTCGAAAGTAAAGGGTAAATCTTAACTGGGTATTATAGAAAATTAATAGGTAACAATACATAAACCTCGGTATTAACATACCAGTAACACACACATACATATGAAAATATACTATATAATGACAAGCATACTTCACTCAAGGAGCCATCGTAAGCATCACCAACAACATCTAAAGCTTCCAACATGGTACCAGTTGATCCACCGATTATCAAAACCTACGAATTGAGTGCATTGTTAAAGAATTAGACAATGGTCAAATTAAAGGGACTAGAACTATATTTTACAAGAAGATATTTTAGATCAACATAATGTTAAAAATGCATGCGTATACAGCATGGAGTCTGTGAGTCTGTGGACTATTGAGTACACACACATATGATCCGAGTGTAGACAAAAAGGTCATGAATATATAAAAATACATATATATTTATGTGTATATAAATACGTGTGTGTGTGTGAATGGCATGGTTATTACTTCAAACTGTATTTTACTGTAATTTCTATAAGAGATAAATTGTAAATCTAATTTTCTACTTTCTAAACACAAAGTATTAATATTTGGTAGGAAAGTTTTAACCTTTTAAGTACACAGTTACATTCATCGTGGTCGTATCCTTTGGATGTGCATGTTGATTTTACAACATCAATCCTACAATTGGACATGACTATAGCAAATATCTCTTGACTCTCAGAATATAATGGTCATATGTGCATGATGTAATTTGAACGCAACACCTAATAGACAGAATCTCCAGACATGTGTAAATGGAATCATAACATAGAGAAAGGTGATGGAATTCCTTGACCCGGAAAAGTAGTGCTAACTAGAAAATTAAGACATTCAACTTACTTAAATAAACAGGTACATCAACCAGGGAGTATAGAAGTTACCGTTAAAACGACAATTGCTGTGGTTGCTGTGAAAATTGTCTGACCATGACCTTCAGGGAGATCGTGAACTGACTGCAAAGCAAGTGCAAAAGCCATAGCCCCTCGAAGTCCTATACATGCAAAGCATTCGATCAGTGTAAGCAGTAACTGAAGAGCACAAAGGGAACCATCCAGAGCCAATACCTTACTTACCACTGTACCAGAGTGCTTTCTGATGTTTAGGTGGTATTTTTCTATGAGCAGGTCTTACCATATTTACCAGATATGCACAACCAAATACATTTGCAGCCCTTCACATGAAGATAGGAATTAATAAGAAATTCACAATTTAATGCATCCAGTTCTGTTTTATACACTGTCATTGCTCATCACTATTTGGGTAAATCAAAATATACATAAGAGTAATCCAAAAAGTGAAGAGTTTTGCAAAATGCAGTATACCTTGCAATTCCAATAAAAAGCTGGGAATTAAAAAGTTAAGGAAATTAAACCGACAACAGAATACCAAAAAGCTCATTAAAAAACAAACACAGTGAGACACTAAGGATACAATTGAGAAGAAAATAAATCCAACATGTGACCAACTATGTTGTTCCATAGCTATATCAAACCCCATATATATAAATCTGCAAAAAGAACAAAGCAAATCATCTAAGCCTGTCATATAATGAAAAAAAACAACCAAAATCGTGTAAAACTTTTCCTTACACGAATGTCTCCGCTAATGAAGATATCAGATGAAAAAACGAAGATACAAATCTCTGAGAACTGTCAGACAAATTTGAGTATGTATAGCGTTTCATTACCTAACACAACAATAATTAATGCCTGGGTCAATTTAATTCTGTACTTTCTCCAATTCAATATAATTGGATAATGGAAACAAATGTTCCAATTTATGACTTACAATTCCAGTGAACAGTATAGACACAATGCCAGAAAGACCAAGACCTTCTGCCAGCATGTAACTAAATGAAAGTATGCACTATTAGGAACATGTAATACAAATCAAAGAAGCATTCCATAGAACCATTGAAAAATGTTAGAAATAACTCACGAAAAATATGGGAAAAGGACAAACAGACAACACTCCAAGTTCTGCAGGCTACATGAAGAGTGAGAGATAACCATCACAACTTCCAAATCAATCCAAATTTCAATGTCACAGGAAAAATAAGAGATACGTGCTTACTTATCAATATCCAATCCAGCATACTTGAAAAGGTATGTAGAGTTAAGGCAACACAGTGCAGTTAAAAGCTACAAACTTGACACAACTTTACAAATTCTTAGCATCATATTAAAATGGATTGTAAAGAGGAGAAATAGGTACATGTAATATATTACTTCGTATCATGTGAGCATGTCATGATCCAAATTGATTGTTTCAATTTGTTTGGGCCTCTTTAATTATAGTCTTGGTGTCACCTCTATCGTGCTTCATTTCATTAGCAAAGATGAAGAATGAAAATTTAAAAGAAATCAACTGAAATAAATTGAGAGCATTTTCATTGGTAACATTTTTATTCTCATAGTGGTAAATGTTCTGACTAACATGTGCTGTTTCCTAGAGGAATAAACTGAAAGCATCAATAAATATAGCTTTATATTTAAATATGAAGCAATGAGTAAAGTGGAGAATATGAGACTACATATTGTGAAATGATGGGGCAGATGAGGAACACCAAGCTAACTCTGGATGATTAGTTGAGCTTATCAAGAATTCAGAGCAATGTGTTGGAGGGATATGTAGATTAAGAAGGCATCAGCGGACTTCAACAAATGTGTGGATTGTTAGGTGGGGACAAGTTGAGATGGATTTACAAAAATCACTAAACTCAGAAGGATTCAGGTACCAGGAAGGTTTTGGGAAATGAGGTGGATGGGACAGTTAAAAAAAACTTGTATTCCGAAATCGAACAAAAAACAAATCATGGCAATGTTTTAATTTAAAACTAAAACATTACCCGTCACTTTAATGTTGCAATCTCATAGACTTTCAAGGAAAAGGTAGCCCTTAACTTTGTAATTAGATCAAAGAGAGAACACCTAAAACAATTATAATCAAAACCCAGCTCGTAAGTGTACTACTAATTCATCTCTGGTGCTACTAGGAGTACTTTGGATCCGTCATCTTCCATCATATCCACCCAATTAGCCATAAGTTTGTGTCTAAAAAAGAGCTAATACCACTTTTAATCTCGTGAGTGTGGTGACATGTCCATTTTGGTCATCCAAAATTAATTCAACCACTTTTGGTCATTCAACAATTCAAATTATACCAAATTTAGCTCTAATAGGCAAAATAACTTTAAGTGAAGGACTAAGTTTTTTGTGAGACATTTTGGGGCTTTTATTTCAAATTTAGCTCTTTTGGTCAAAGTAACCTTATACGATGAAGGGTTAACTTTTCTGTGAGACATTCTGGGCATGCAATGGTATGTCTTAAAAGTAGAGAGACCCAAAGTGACAATCGATAGTCTAGGAACAAACGTGAAAGTCACTCCAAAATAACAGCCATGGCATTAAAGGATATCAAAGCAGAAATGAATCCAACACCAACACCTGCAGCATCATGATTAGGCAGTTACAAGCCACAGAATAAAAGAAGTCTCTTTTGAAAGTTGAAATGAATATGCATGTCCAGATATTCAATTGCAGATGGACCCTCAATGACAATAGATATAGACCATAAGTCTAATCTGAGTGACAAATAACAAATATACTGCTCCGTAATATACATGATTGTTCGACAGCCCTTTGTTATCCATCAAAGCACATGCCTCCATTCTAAACCAATTTCTTAATCAATACTCACTACCTGAACAACAACAACAACCCAGTTGAATCCCACAAGAGTAGGGTCTGGGGAGGGTGAGTGTACGTAGACCTTACCCCTACTCAAAAGTAGAGAGGCTGTTTCCAAAGAGACCCCCGGTTCAGCGTCAAAAGTTGCATTGATTGACTAACTGCTACTTCATTAATTAAATAAGCACAGACAATTTAGAGATCCATTTTGTTATATTCCATCACATCCCAAAGCAAAAAAATACTGAATTTTTTGCTCCACCGAAGATGATGGAAATACTCACTAGCTGAACATACAAAATAATTGAGGCTTTATGCAAATCAAGATTACATCGATTTTTAAATATATATTTCCATGCAGCCCCCCACCACCACCACCCAGTGAAAACAGAACTCTATGGAGTAAAGCATGTATTGACACTCATTTCATGTAACAAAGAAGGTTTCAAAGTTGTAAAGACTGACCTGCTGACATTGATCCAAAAAATGTCTCTATAAAACGGACAATGATCATAAAAAAGTTCTGTCCAGATGAGGCATTGCTTCTCACTAATGATATTGTCCTGCAGAATTATAGAGATTCCAGGGTTTGAGTGAATATCCAACATGACTCATTATACAAAAGCATTTCTAGTAGACTAACCTGTATAGAGATATTGCCATCTCCAGTTGTGCAACAGGAAAAACAAGAGACTAATTAGCAAAGGGAATCCCAAACATCTGGAGGAACGTATACGGTATACCATATAACTAGAACAGAATAGAAAGCATAAAAAGAACAAAGAACTTACTGCATCATTTAAAACAGATTCACCAAACACCAATGCATAAAGGTTGACATCAGTTCCAAGCTCCTGCAATAGAGAAAGAAAGAACATTTTCTTGTGATGTACTCCTTATAGAACAGGTCAAATTGTTAACACTGTCTGAAGTGAAAATTAGAATTTTCATCAATAGCGAATCAGGATCATTTTCTTTTCTTTTGTGACATGGCATGCATGTGTCTACCTATCTCTCTATAAACATGCACCTAGAAATATAAATCTGATAGTTAATTAGCCCTGCGCAATTATTTTAAGAGTACTTTGCTGATTATCAAAGAAAAAGTATAGAGCATAACCTGAAATATAGACAGAACTGTGACAGGGTCAGTTGCTGATATAAGAGCCCCAAACATCAGGCATTCAAGAAAAGGAAGTTTGTACATGATATATATCACTCCTCCGATGTAACTGCAGCCAAATTCATTAAAAATAACATATTTAACTTATAAAAATAAAAGAAATTGAACATCAGTGAGTATATAAAAAGTCAAATAATTCAAAAACTGAGGTGGAAATCCAAAACAGAATACCAGTACTGTACTTACACCAAAATGCCTGTAACAATTGAGGCAACAAATGTTCCAAATATAGAAAATGTCACAATGGCTCCAAAATTTGAAAAGAACGGCTTCTGAAAAATGCATAAACAATCAAATCTTGTATTATGTAAAATATCATTAAATTTGATATCCATTGAAAGAAGGAAAAAAGGTGTAGAATTTACCGGTGATAAACTGAATCCTGATTGAGTAGCAGATAAAGTCAAGGAAACCACTTTTGCTATTCATTTCAAAAAAGAAACCAGAACATATAACTCTTGCACAGATACAAAAATATTTTTTAAAAAAGGATATAATATGATAGGAGGCAACAGAAAGAGGAAGAAGAATTCCTCATGAAAGTTAAACCATGCCCTGCCATCACAAACCATGAGTCAAGATAGAGTGAGAACCAAGTCATCAATTGAAATTCTATGTGCACTTATCATGAAAATGTAAACATAGAACATGTTACATACTTACATGCACTCAGCTCACAAGTCACAACAACATATGTACAGAGATACATAAAACGAGTTAAGAAAATAAAACTTTACCGGATGTTTCTTTCAGTATCTGAAATTGTAGCCAAGCCACCTACAATTAGACCTGCCAAAGAAAAGTGTGTGATTGCTACCAACTTCAGTGAACATGAGTGTACTGATCAGTAGAAAATATTGGTTTATTTTTAAGAATTGATACGATTGTCAGGAATGTCAGCAACAAACTCAAAGTGCGCACTGATTTGGCAGGGAGATTCAGTAGAAAGAGTCAAAGAAATAATTTTGCAATTGAATAGTTGGAGAACTGGACTCGTGAAATGAAGGAAAATGGAGCAGTAGCATTACCGATCAAAAGGGAGGCGCTAGCTTCTGGAAGATAGTAGAACCTATGGCGGCGAAGGACATGACCGAGGACAAAAGAGAGAACGAGCATCATGATCTGCAGAAGGATACCCACTCCGGCGGCTTGTTGTTCCTTCCCGGGGCTTCCCCGAGCATCCGCCGGAGAAATTTGGAGGAGCAGTTGCTCTTCCATCGCAGAATCCGGCTCACCCAAAGGGAAAGAGGAGATTCCCGGAAGCAAACGTAAAATATGGAGGACGCCGCCGACAGTCGGGAAGACACTTACGACAGCGTATCGAACGCGACGACGATGCTTCAATGTGCTCAACCTCCCTGCAGATGAAATCCTGGAAGCCGGCGACTCCCCAATTCCGGCACGTTTTCTCAGTTCGAGGAGTATTGTTTAACGTTGGTCAGATATGGTAAAAAGAATAGGTCGTGATTTAGGGGCATCTTTTGGAGAAGCCGAATATAATTTTGTTTGACATTCCATTAGCATAATGATACAAACCCATCAAGGTGAAGGCTCAAGGTGTAAAACCCCTCCAGGTAAGATAAGTTTTTTTTAGGACCGAATACCGAACCTGTTTATTTTCGATCCAGATTGGTTTGAACCTGTTTTTTCTGATCGGTCCGGTTTTACCCTATTCTAGACCTGAACTTTTTTTTTATACATTTTATGCAATCTTATAAATGAATTAAGTTATTAAATAAATCTGGAAAAAAATTGAAATAAGAAGAACCTATTGTTCAAAGTATTTAATACATATAGTACTTGCAAGTAGTAGTGACAAATTCTAGTAGTAACAAATTCATCAAAATTTAATTTCTAACTTATTCAAATTTATAAACTACCTTAAGAATATAATAAACTGAAAAAAAATATTGGAAAAATGAAATTCATGAATCTAAAACCATATGGACTAGATCTAATGCTTTTGGGCTTGAAATTAATAATGGATACAATTCATATAATATATTCCGGTCTGGACCAGAAAATTTAGGGTCAAACCCAGACCGAACGGAAACCCGAAATCTCTAATTTGTAAAATCCGGGGACCGGACCTGAATCTTTTAGACTGGTCCGGACCGGTCCATTCCAGTCCGGTACAGGTCCAAAATCTGGTCGAGACCTGTTTTTGTACACCCCTACCTTCAGGCTCCATCTAGGGTTGGACCCGGTTTTGGGTAGAACCGACACCGGCACCGGAACCGCCGGTTCCGAACCGTGTTGGCGACAGAGACATTGGGGCAGGTAGGGGAATCAGACTCGCAACTAGTGAACACGGGTCTAGTTCCGGGTCATATGTCGGTGTGTCCAGAACCGCCAGTTCCGGTTTGTTTTCAGTTTCTTTTTTTTCTTTTTCATATATTATAAATATTTATATTATTATAAATTTATAATATATTAATAAATTTATAATATAAAAATATATTATATTACTAATATTAGAAATTTAGAATATTATAACATCATTATATTTTATTAATTTTTCATCCAAGATAAAAAATATATATTAAGATGTCGAAACAGTTAGGTAGAAGGTATGACGATATGGGCATTGTGAATTGTGGGGGTTCAAACAAGCCCATGTTAGGTCCGAAAGTTCAAGCTCATGTGGCTCTCAAGCGAGAGACTCTGTCTCGTCCTTTTCTACAATCCCCGAGCAATTTATAGACGATGCTATGAGTGATCAAGAATTTGCTCAGGTCATGGTGACATCGAGGATAGGAATGATATCAATTTTCAAACTCTTAGGGATATTTTCGAGAACGATGATGGGACAGAGGAACCAACACCCGAGAGCAACGATCCTATTGGGCAGGATGATGAGACAGGTGAGCACGAGACCTCACACGGTCCGAGAAAAGGTAAAAAGTCTAAGTCTGGTTTATTTGTATATCATTTTCATATAAAAAAACAGAAAATGGTGTAGTTACGGGAATTTATAGACATTGTGGGGCAATCATAAAAATGTGAATTTCCAGGGGGTATGGTTCACCAACCAAACACCTCAAAACAAGGCACCCGTGGAGTATGCCAAAATGATGGTGAAAAAAGGGACAAGTACAAACCCAACTTTCTCGTCTTGCAAACAAGGGTAAGGGCAACCTTTTTTGCTTTAAGCGATGATCAAATTAAGCAAAAAAAAAATGACCGAGATGATTTGCGAGAAAAATTTATCATTCATATTTTCTGAAAAACGTGGATTTATTGATTATTGTCAAAATACACTAAACCCTCAATCAAGAGTATTTTCAAGAAAAACCATTAAGAGAGAAATTATTAGACAACATAAAGTTGAAAAAAATAATTCAATTTTTTTTCTTTTAAATATCGTGTTACAATTTGTTCAGATGTTTGGAGTGAAACTTATCATAATTTATCTTACATGAGTGTTACATGTCATTAGATATATAGTATTGGTTAATGCATAAATGTGTTCTTGCATTTCGTGATTTTAAAAAATCTCACACAGGTGATAATATTATTCTTTTGCTTGAGTGTATTTTGAAAGAATAGAATTTACTTGATAAAGTGTTTGCATTTGGTTTTAATAATATTACTAATAATATTGTTGTCATTTATAGACTTAAAGAACTTTGTCCCCTAGCAGCGCCATGGGTAGATTCATACACCAAAGGTCTGCCTGTCATGTTTTAAATTTGTGTGTTTAACAGAGATTACAAACTCTGGGGGGATTTTGACCAACATTAAGGTTAGTTTAAAATTAACTTGGGGTAGTCGTAATAATTCCCATGTTTGAAAATTTTATTGTAAATCTAATAATAAAAATCCAATAATATTTATGAAGGACATTATGACTAGATGAAATAGTACATATAAGTTGATTGCACAGATCTTGCGGTATAGAAGAATTAGCTTCATTTCTCATGTATGAGCTTAATCTTATTATCAATTTTAATGCATCTATTCTTGTTAAAAAATTGAACAGCATATTCGAAGCTTTTAATAATGTCACTCTCACTTTCTCGCGTGTTTATAAACGTACAACAAACATATTTTTTCTGAGTGTATTACAATTGATATATGTTTTTGTGAAGTTATATATTATCTACATTTATACCCTTATGTGTCTCCTTTGAGAGATAAATGGAGTGCTTATTCTCATGTAGTGTTACTATAGTTATTTTTTAGATAAAAATAATTATTTTTATCATCATTTTATAGAATGGACAAAAGAATGAGATAATGCTATTGATCTTTTTGAGTCTTTATTTAAAGAATTTTAAGTTTAGTACGGTACCCCAGCAGAAGAAATAGTAGCTCCTCTTATTCTGAAGATAAAAAGGGTTTTAAAGGAATAGCCGATGGCCTCTCAACAAAAAAGGTAAACGTAGCTCTCCGTCGATGAGTATAAGTGGTACAACTTTAAGGTTGCACAATGAACTTGTGATGTACCATGGCGTCCCTGTAACACCCCGACTCGTATAACCTGGTTTACGCGGATTAGAGTGCTAACAATTTGGCAAAGTAACATCTCATAATTTAAAAAGGTAATATTAGTAATGATTTAAAAATATTTAGAACATGATTTTCTCAAAACATGATAAAATTATTTTAGGAGTACTTTAATTTAAACAGTGCGGGAGCTAAATGAAATTCAATATAATTACAAGTATGGGTTTAAGTCCCAAAGTATTTTAAAATATTAAAAACAGTACCGCATCTTTTTGCTAACTCACCTATCTCAGCATCCTCCAGATTTGATGCCATAGTTTTGATTACGTGTGCACAGTCACACAACAAAGGAAACTGCGCGCTCAGTGAAATCGTTGAGTGGTACCACAACGCAGATTTCAAAGAATAATTCATGAACACATAGTCACATTTATAACGGTCATTAATGCCTTTAAGTCCTTTTATTTAAGATAAATCTTTTTGTCTTCTAAATAAAATCTTTAGTTATAAAATTCCAACATATCTCAACTATGACAAGGTGTAAAAGCATTTCTTCGTACATTCATATGTATTCAAAAGTACTTATTAAAAGTCAAGGTTATCATTGTCAAATCTCTTTTGTTTATACATTTTACAAATCATTATGTTTCAATAATGTTTCTTCGATTTATTATTTAAACATCTCCAAGAGAAGTTAGACCATACCATCAAGTAAACCAACATTCTCAATTTCGCAAATCATAATAGAGTAAGAGTATCATCCCTTAATTTTCACCATTTATATTTTATTCTTATTCGAGTTCAGAATTGATAAGATTCCCCTATTTGAGTCTAAGTCCGAGTGTCATTCTCTTCAAGTTCAGAATTTGTTCAGTGGCCTTTCATAATCTGGTATAAATAATCTTCTGGTTTTGGATGCATGGGTTGAGTGACCCTAGTCGCATGACCAGTCTAGCCATAATGTACGTCCATACTATCTATTACTAGAAATAATCTAGATTAACCGTCCAGAAATATCTTTCTGGTTATTTATACTGCCATCATAATTGTCATCTTTATGGATTGGAACATATAAAGTTTTATAACAAAATCCGTATAAACCAACAATAGAATTTATTTAATTCAAAACATTCAAAAGACATCTGATTATGAGTTCCCATGCTCTACCAAAAAAATAATAGCATAGTTTTAGCCCTACTACTAAAAAGGATTATCAAAAGTCAAGATAGGGAAACACCAAGCTCCAAACCTTCCAATGCAATGTCGTAATCACCATATTCTTCTTGGACGGGCCATGCTTTCTTTTGTTGGGATCCAAATTCCACAAACATGTCCATTTTCTTCCTCTTTTTAGGTAGCTTATCACTTTTTCTAGATTCTTTAGTTTTTGGTTTTTCTCTTTGGCACTTTTTTCTTTTTTTCACATTTTTTCCCCCAATTACACTTTAGATGTCTCTTTCGTAGAGATCCTCTGTGTGTGCCACATTCGGAGTCTAACACAAGTGATGTGCTTGTTGTAAGCTCGGCCATTTCTTGTAACCCTTTGGATGGGATTTGTGTAAGATGTGCTTCTACACACAACTCCCTCTCAATTTAATCCATTATTTCCTTTGTGTGGTCTTCATCGTCTACGACTTTGTTCGCCAAACCCCAAAAGCTTTTACACAAGTCATCATACCGTTGTTGGACTGTACATATACATCCATCATAACCTACTTTGAAACACGTGTATGCCTGCTTCACATCACACCTTAATGATTTTTACCTTTGATTGTCTCATTTCATTTATTTTGTATGATTCAAATTTTTAATGATTTTTAATCATTAAAAAATAAATTTTTAATGATTTTTACCTTTAAATTTTTAATCATTAAAGTTTTAATGATTTTTGCCTTTGACTTTCTCATCTCATATATATGTATAATATTTATTTCTCATTTTTAATGATTTTTAACCTTTGATTTTCTAATTTTACTCATTTCATTTTTTTTAAAT